TCGGCAACGCCCGTCGCCCACCGCCAACCACCGTCGAACGCCGTCGATCATCGCTGACCTCCGTCAACCACCACTTACTAGACGTAATCAGCTAGTAACCCTTTCCCGCCTGTGGGACAAGGGGCATCTGTAATCATCATCTTATAGTGAATTTTTACAAGAGGGCCAGACCCTGTAGTTTTTCCTTTTTTACGGGTTTTTCACGTAAAAACTTCTGGTGTTATTACAGTTTGATTCATTTTCATCTGAGTGTGTACTGAATTTTCGTGCAACGCTAAGACGATAATCCATTATTCTACCGCCGCGAATTTTCTAGCACGCATTAATATAGTTATAAGCTGAATTATTAAATCCACGTGTCCATATAGCAATGATGAGAGACTAAATATTTATTTGGAAGAAATTAATAAAACATGCCGTGCTGTAAAGTACTTGATACGTGTTGTTAATAAGTTCATGACCATGCGCATTGAATGTTGCATGGCGAGACATATAATACAATATATAATATAATAGCGTCCATAGCACTTATATAATTATATTTGATTTATCTTTTTTTTGTTATGTGTAATATTATATTCGTTGGACAATTTATAGTGTTTTTTTTTGTAAAATTTGAATACATATAACATAATTATTTTGTATTAATGTATCTACATTTTAAACTTAATTTTTGCATTTATACCACTCAATGTTTGTTTCATTTTTAAAAATTAATGATGATAATACCTTTAATGTTAAATGATTTTTTTAGTATTAAAAATTAAGTGGCAGATGATATAATATCATTAAGTCGAAAAATTATTCCATAAGAACACCGTATGCAGGGGCCAGGGAGTGTTCGATATTCACCGCCCATCACAGTAATTTTTTTTTTTTCAAAAAGAATCAAAATAGGACTCACCTTCATATATCTTTGCTATGATGGACGATAAAGATCGGTCACCGTATGCATCTCTGCATACAGCGTTCATATGAAATAATTTTTCCATTAAGACAGCGTGTAGGTAGGGGCGGTGGAACACGAGCGAGCTCAGGCTCAGCTTGCGTTCGGCTCGTTTATATTTCGAGCTCAGAAAGTGTGTCCGTGTTCGGCTCGTTTGCTTAGCGAGCTGAACACGAGCCATTTACGAAAAAAAGAGTTGTTTTGACAACCCTAATCACATACCCATAAATGCTAAGAAATGGGGCAAGATTTAAAACATCATTTGAATCTAAATTAATAATTTTTATCCTATTTTCTTCATTGATACTTTTAATTGATTATAAATCTTTGTAGTCTTGCAGTCAATTAATTTTTTTAAAAATACTACTCGTCAAAGATATATAAATATATATAATGAATTAGTAGTATTTCGAGCCAAAACGAGTTCATGTTCAGCTCGTTAACTTAGCGAACGAGCCGAACATGAGCTTCTTAACAAGCAGAACACGAGCTGTTCACGAACAACGAGCTGTTTTGACAGCCCTACGTGTAGGATTAGAATCGGCGATCTCATTGTTGGAAATTCTACCCTTAACCGCTCTATTACGAATAAATGTAATTTTTATATTTAAGTTACTATATAAATTTCAATATTGAAAACATATTAATTATCAAAGTTGTAAAATTTCTATTAAAATAAAATATAAAATTTGGCTCAAATTTTGAGTCATTTGCATATATACCATCCAATTCTCATGTATTTATATAACTAATATTTAAATTTAATTTTTTTATACTTATATCCACCCAAAAACTCTATATTACATTCAAAATATCATTATTTTAATTTTTAAAAAAATGTGAAAAGCCCAGGGAGCTTCTTTTCAGTTTTTCAATTTTCTCGAGGCCCGTAACCGATTCCTTGGGCTAGAACTAGGGTTTTAATTTCATCCCTAATCCTGTGGCATTTAGCCCTACCGGAAAGGGATGAGCTTCCAGGACATTGAATCGGGCGGGCCGATTCTATGGAGAAGAGATGCAGCGGCCAACGGGAGGCAGGACCCTACACAGGCGGTGGCAGCCGGCGTGTTCCAGATCAACACAGCTGTCTCCACCTTCCAGCGCTTGGTCAACACTCTCGGTACCCCCAAGGATACGCCTGAGCTGCGAGAACGACTGTAATGAGCCTTTTCTCTTTTCCAATTGAATTCACTTGCTTGTTTGATTCGCTGCAGGGAGTACGGTTTAGAAATTGCTTGTCGTTCGCGGATATAAGTGTTTTTATTAGTTAATAGGGTTTTTGTTTGGAAGGGATTCTTTAATAAATTTGATTTGATTGGACAGATTCGGCAATCGGTTATTTCATTCTTGTTCGGGCCTTACCTTGATGATCTAATAGCAGATAAAATGGACGTAAGGGAGACAAAGAAGAAGAAGAAGAAGAAGAAACTAAAATAGCAATTAAGAAGGGTTTTTAATGGATAGAGAGGGATGGAGTAGGTTATAGAACCCCTAATTTAGATGAATTTAAGCAATGAATTCTATTCTATTTCTCCATTCATGCTTGCAGTATCATTAAATGTGCTATTGTTTCTGTAAAATTAGCATGTTCTAGTTAAAATATTTCCTATACACCGTTGAATTCGAAATTTGATTGGGAAAATGATTAATGCGCTTTCCTATTGTTTAATGTGTTGTAATTAGTGTAAGGTTATTTTGAACCCTGCAAATTTTGTAGGAAGGTTGCATTATTGTGGGTACAGACTTTTTTTTTTTGTTTCAACTAACTACGTGAATCTCGTTGTATTCTTATATGTGTTTGTTGTATTCTTATATGTGTTTGTCGTTTTTGCTCTCGTTGTATTCTTATATGTGTTTGTCGTATTTGCTCATAGTTGGCGCTTTAAAATAAAAGATAAACTTTTATTAACAAGTGATATTAGGACATAACATGGAATACTACACCCATTAAGTTTATGATTACAACAAAAATGACAACAGCAAAGTCTTAATCCCACGACATGGGGTTGACTACATGAATCTTTTTTCTCCATTGTTTCCTATTTAGTGTCATATTTTCATTTAGTTCTATTAAATTAAGATCATTTTTATACAATAAAGTCCATGTCTTCCTAGCTCTACCTCTGCCTTTCTTAACATAAGTTGAATCTAAAACATCCATTCTCCTAATCGGATTATTAGATGGTCGACGTTTAATGTGACCAAACCATCTAAGACGACTATCTAATTTTGTTCGTCACTGGTGCTATACCAACCCTATTCACAAATGATAATTTAATTGCTCAAATAACTGTGGGCTTTACAAAATATCTATGATATTTTAATCTAATAAAGACTTAAGGGCGCTAATGGCTCATTCAAATATGGTTGAGCTTATGACTAAGAAGATGAAATAGAGATTTTTAAAGCTTTCTTGATGATCCAATAATATTTGGTGAACGAGGCTATTATAAATTTTTTTGAGGAAATAACTGAAAAGGGGTTATTTATGACAAACTTAATCAAAGGAAGAGTAGATATTGCTCTGTGTGTTGGAAGATACACTCGTTAAATCACATCTTAACTTGTTAATTCTATTTATTGAGATTTGGAAAATTTTGATGTGATGTTTTTATGATGAAGATCAAGTTTTTTTTGTAAAAAAGTGCTATATGGAGAGGAAGGAATAATGTATTATGGTAACAACAATAATGATTAGCTAGTGTATGTTACTCTTTTTATCAATTGACCCGATCGAAATAAAATGATATATCTTGGTGATTTTCGAAGATCAATAAATTCTTGATGCAGCTTACTATTATTATGTGTCTTCAGGAGTTATCTTCTACTTTTATGTCATATACTAATGGCTATGTTTATATGAGAAATAACACAACATAGAAAATGGCTGGTTTGATAATGTAATGTTTATGTTGCATAATTATTTGATTATGGCATTGACAAGAGTCAGTTTATACCAAAATTTAAGAAGAACCTTCCATATTTGATCTCGCTTAACTTTGCAAGATGCATACTTTCTTTAGATATTGAAGTAATTCAAAGGCGTGTAGACTGTGCGGATGGAGTTGGTCGACTTTGTTGTGAATTGTATTGAATGGTATTTTATTGTTTATGTTGAATTATCATGATTTGTGAAAGCACAAAAATGGTAGCTTCGGCTTCTGGGATAAATGATTGCATTGGTTATTAGGGAGTATGAATCATAGGGTAATTAATATTAGGTTTGATGTTCTAATGAGCAAATTTTTGTTTCTATCTAATAGCTTAAGCCTATGGGTGAGGGTCAATCACTTTATCTTTTTACACCAATGTACTTTCATACGTCTAATGTAGGACTAAGAAAAATACGTTAATGTGCCTCAACATCATTTTGGTGTGGGTATTATGCTAAAAAAATTGTTTGGCTTATTGATATTGTGCTTTGCTCAATTATTCGTGACTTTGAGAGCTTATAGTGCTCAGCTTACAGAGAAAAAAAAAAATCTATTCACATAATTGAGTTAAAAGATTTGGTAAGAATTTTGACTAAATTATGCAAGAGATTTGTTAACAAAAAAAATAGTTACAAAGATAAATTTTGATTTGAATTTTCTTTTGGAAATTTATTATTTTGGATTATATTATGTCGAAAAGATTCGAAATTTTCCTCTTTAAAACTTCTATAAATAGGAGTCTTATTATACGCAAATTGTGCATGGATATGCATGGTCAATGCCTCGGCTTTGTCATGGAGTGCGTTAAACTGTAATTTGCTTTGGAGTGTTTTTTATTATGCTTTTTTTGTTAGTACATATGCTTGCCTTTTTTATCTTGAATCAAACACTCTCCTCTCCCATTGATGAAGAGCAGTTTTAATTAAGGGATAATTACATACAGACCATCCAAAACATTGATATTTGCAAACTAACAGCCCAAGTGATTTTTTGAACTACCGAATTGATGTTTTATGTGTGTCACAATCAAACTATTGAGAATTTGATAAAAATGAAAAGTACGGGTTGGGGTTTTACCATGGATTTTTATATTTGAGTGAGAACTTAAAAAAAGATGAAAGAGGGTGGTTGATTTGTTCATGGCAAATTTCAGGTGGTCTGTATGTGATTGCCCCTTTTAATTAAATTAAGTAAATATTGGTATCTTCTTATGCTGATTGATCTCTTTGGAGCAATTTTATATCTTTTACCATATTCATTCCTAGTTGGTGTTTTGGTATAATATTAGCTGTTTTTCCTAACATTTTTTGTTCCATTTGTGATCCCTCATGGTTTACAATTTCATTTGAGGAAAAATGTCCCAATCTATTTCCATCATCAAGTAATTTTATTATGTTGATGACAGGCACAAGACGAGGCTACACATTGGGCAGCTTGTGAAAGACACCTCAGCTAAACTGAAGCAAGCTAGTGAAAAAGATCATCATACTGCAGTCAGTGTGAGTCCAGTTATTATTCCCACATTGTCTTAATTCTTTTTTCTCTTCTGATTTTTAAGATAGAAGATTTACATAAATACCACTCAATTCCAATGTATTTACATATCTAACACTTAAAGCTCAATTTTTACATACATGCTACTTTACCCATGCATGAAAGATGTGTTTCTTTTTTCAAAAGTTAAAATGATGGTATTTTTTTTGTAATATGGAATTTTTGGGTGATATAAATTTAAAAATTTTAGGTCTTGGATATGTAAATGCATAGGAATTTGGTGGTATGTATGGAAATGCCCTATTTAAGATTTACTGATTTTATATTTTGAATTTTTGGACACATTTTAATTTTTAATTTGTAGGCTAGCAAGAAAATTGCTGATGCTAAGCTTGCGAAGGATTTTCAAGCAGTTCTTAAGGAGTTTCAGAAGGCACAAAGGCTTGCAGCTGAGAGAGAAACTGCTTATGCTCCCTTTGTTCTCCAAACAACTTCTCCGTCAAGGTATTAACAATCCATTTAATTTGGGGGATTATCATCTTGTTGAATGATTTTGTAGCATTCAATAAATAAAATTCTTTATCAATTAAGTAAAAATATGATTTTTTATTGGTATTGCTGCTAAAGTTCTTTTTTTTTCTATTAAATTTAATCTGTTATTGTGGGTGCATTTTCTTATGATTACCGTCTTTCGCATGTATTATACAGATTAATTTTCTTTTTAGATTTGTTAAGAAATTTGCCAATTTGATTCTTTTATATGTAATTGAAGTAATATTTGAGGACATTTCATAGATAGGAAGTATAGAAAGAACTTTTGTTTTTTTCTTAAGACAATGCCAGGCATCTCCTTGATATGAATTGTTATGAATTTTGAGTTTTAATCACACTTAGTTTTACTGAATTATTTTTTGATGCGAATCATGAATTCATTTTAAAGCCCATATTGGTGTCAATATTTTGGAAGGTTTACATATGTACTACGTAGCTCTTATTTATTTACATATCTAACACCTAAACTTGAACTTTTACCTACATGCCACCTTATAGATGCATGAAAAGATGTATTTCACTTTTCAAAAGTTAAAATGTTGGTATTTTTTATGCGATGAGAAATATGTATGTAGTATAAATGTTAAAAGGTAAAGTTTAGGTGTTAGATGTGTGAATACATAGGAATTGGGTGATATTTATGTAAATGCTCTTAGTATTCTTTGTATTGACAACTTCTAATTTTGCTAACTTGGCCTGCTATATTAGTGCATTAGTTGAAATGTATGAAATGATTTCTAATTGCTACCTCATTTCTCAACTCATTTTTCTGTTTTTGTTGTCATATTTTATTTGCAGCTATAATACAGGTGAGGTAGATGATGGCATTGAGAAAACACCTGATCAGCGCTCAGCACTCTTGGAGGCGAAAAGGTAGGAACTTCCTATGTAATTTTTTTTTTTAAATTTTTCTTTTTTTTATGAATATGCATCTCTTGCAAGTTTCAATCTGTACTAAACTGATATTTCCATAAAAATACTTGCATGCATCTTTATCATGTCTTGAATAGGACAAAATATTAGAAGCAGACTCCGCATGTAATATTCTCTTCTAGAATAGGGTTGTAAATGAACCAAACTTGAGCGGGCCCAATGCTTGTTAGAGTTCGGCTCGTTTGAAATTTTTTGTTCGAAATATGCTTGTTTTGAAATGACTTGTGAATATCATGTTCATATTCGACCTTATTCAAATTTGTTTGTTCCTTTTAGCTCGTTTTCGGCTCGAGATTAGAATAATAAAATTTAACGATTTTTTAAATACAACTTAGAAAACCAATATTAAATGTTACAATAATGTTATTTATCTAATTATTTAATTAGTTCTAGCTAAACTTACCTAAACATGATCGAACAAAATTTTATTTCTATTTGACTCGTTTATAAATCAAGTTAAAAAAGATTGTGTATTTAACTTCCTTGTTTAACGAGCAAATTAAGTGAACTACCTAGGGAGTTGAGCACTAGTTGTTTGCGAACAATGACCTTTTTTGACAATCATTGTCCTGAAATCTAGCATCAATGCAAAAAAATGCATATCATCATCATTATTAGGGGTATAAGAAGCTGAGCTTGAGCAAACTTAATCTATTTTTAAGGATATTGTTCTCTCTGCAAAGAGGCGCAACATGACCAAAAAGATAATATTGTAGTTTTTATAGATTCAATGGCTGACTTAAATGCAATATAAAATAGGCAAGGTTAAACTTTCTGATAAATTTCATGAAAGGAGAATCAAAACATCTTCATTCATTCATATTACATCAAGTTAAGGAACTAAAATATGTTCTCCTGTTAGTTTTATGTATTGCAGAGTAAGCAAAATGAGATCTTCATTGATGAACCAAGTAGTCCCCTCCCATTCTCGGCTTTCTAAGGATATTTCTCTCGCTATAAATTGGCACGAAACACAATCAAAAAGAAAAGAAGCATTCACATACGCACCACCTAATACCTATGTATTTACATATCTAACACCTAAACTTTAGCTTTTGCATCTATGCAACCCTAATCTCTTACATCGCATAAAAAAAATCATCATTTTAGCTTTATAAAGTCAAATACACCTTTGTCAAACATAAGTAACATGGTATGTATGTAAAAATTGAAATTTAGGTGTTAGATATGTAAATACATATGAATTAATCTTTATGCATGGTTTAGAAAACTGGAACCGGCCGGTTTCCCCCTAAACCGGCTATAGTAAACTGGGCGGTAATATTAATAATTTATTTTAATGGTATTTTAAAAGCCAAAATAAGATGACAAACACCAAAGGTGGAAGGCCCATGTGCTATTGTTGTAGCTATCCCATACTCTCATGCCTTCCAATATAAAGGAAATATGTAACTAAAGATTTAAAAATGTAAGACTAAACTGTATAAGTTAAAGTAATTTAATAAAGTGTTTCTTTGCCCTTTATTTGTCTGCACAAAGATTTTGTTTTTCATATTTTCTTTATATATTAATGTTGATATATAACTATATATTAATGATATATTAATTTTAATAATAAGCTTCAACATTTAATTTCTATTCATTAAAAAATTAAAAAAAAAAATATTATAACGGGATTCCTATATTTCATAGTTAATTTTTTTTAAAATTAATTATTATTAAATTTTAAAATAACATGCTAAAATTATTAAGATGTTGGTTATTTAAATATTAAGAAATTTATTTTATATTTCACAATCAATTTTTTTTTAAATTACATCATTTTTGTCACATTTCAATAAAGTTATAATTTATTATGTCATCCGGCTCGTTCAACTCGGGTCAATCTTTGAACCTTAAACCTTTCCTTTTACGGGTTAAATATCCAAAACCTTGGTTGCATATTTCTAAATTTTCCAAAATGAAAAATACAGGAGTTTGTAAATTTTCATAACAAGTTTTGCTCTTTCTTTAAATTATTTAAACTACAGGAGTTTATATTATTTTCTTTTTATTTGTTGCCGCAGACAAGAAGTACTGCTAATGGACAATGAGATTGTCTTCAATGAGGCCATCATCGATGAAAGAGAACAAGGAATACACGAGATTCAACAGCAAATCGGCGAGGTGAATGACATCTTCAAAGATCTCGCCGTCTTGGTTCACGATCAAGGCGTTATGATCGGTAAGATTCATCAAACTTTAATCCATATATTATCTAAACTATATAAATCCCATTCAACTTTTTGATTAATATCTTCCTCAACCTCTCTCAAGATGATATTGATTCCCATGTTGAGAATTCTCTTGTATCAACCGCACAAGCAAAGACTCAGCTTCTGAAAGCATCAAAAATGCAAAAATCAAAGTCATCTCTGGTAATTCAGCTCCCAAATTCAATTTTTCTGCAAAGTTTTTTCAGCAATTTTCTTACTTGGAAATTTGTTAATTGCAGATATGTCTGCTCCTGGTGATTTTTGGGGTTATATTGCTCATAGTGATTATTGTTCTTGCAGTTTGAATTACTGAACTTTGTTCTGTTGAACTGAAGTGAGAACTGGTTTGGTGTTGTGTGCTCTCTAATTCTTCATCATTTTCTGTACATGTTTCAGCTGTTTCTTTGTGAAATTTATTTTGGATTAGGGTCAGTGTTTATGTGGTAAAGAGTTGTGTGTGTTTGCTGGCCATGTAATGAAAGATTATGTTTTTAATAAAATCAAGATTCTTTGATTTTTAATCTGTTCTGGAATTGAATTTTTTTAAGGTCTGTTATATGTTGTTGTAAATGTTATTTGAAATAATTTTGGGGTTTTTGCCTGTACACCACACAATTTTTTGTGTATTTACATATCTAACATCCAAACTTTAATATTTACATTCTTGTTTGGTGCGTGTGTGTGTGTGTGTGTGTGGCCGAGCGCACGTGCAAGCTTTGGTCTGTGGCCGCACGCACGTGCAAGCTTTGGTCTGTTGGTGGTGGGGTCAACTGTAAGTCCCCTTAGGTCGGGGGTTCGATCCCCCGTAACGTGGGGTTCTCAAATGGTAGCACATGACGCTGTCTCATCATGGGACTTAGCGCGTGAGTAATTTATATTTGGGCCTATGTGAAATATCAATTTCCTTTAATATATA